ATTAACCAAACACTGTAAATTGTAAATGTGAAATTACAGGTGGCTTTCAATTCTAATTCTAATGAAATTTCTTCATAATTATCATCACAATGAATACAATCTTACACTACTACAGCATAAACTAATGGACAAATCCTCTCTTTTGCACTGTTGTCTTCCACTCTCTTACCTTTTTTTCATTTTTCGTACTGAAGGTGATATGTGTAACGTGTCAAGAATAACGTTTTATGGCTACTTATATATATAACTCGATCTTAATTAATAAAGATGACAAGTTGGTTCATAAATGAGCGTAAACTTTTTTAATTTTATTATTTCATTAAAATTTTTTATGATGCTACCCTACTCATCACTGTCAAATAGTCTCGTCTAGCCTTACCACTAGACATATATACATAGACACATATAATAAAACATGTACACAAAATTAAGTGCATCTATGACTCATTTTATGTTTTTATTAACATGATTACTGTCAAAACGCACAGGATTAAATTCTTGCGAAACATATTGACACATGAACATACACATAGAATTGAACATTTTATTGAGCCAATAAGACGTGCGAACTTCTCATTGTATCATTCACTGTGTTCAATTAAAAAAAATCTCGATACCTGGTTAGAAGAAATGAAATCAAACTGTCAGATTATACCGTGGTGTTTTTATATGACAGGAATTTGGCAATGATCTGTTTTCATTACAAGAAAAAAAGAAAAAGCCAATAGGCGTAAAGTTTTCACCTAGATGTGTTACGGATTTTCTTTTTCATGACCTAATAGTATACTTCATCCAGAAAAAAACTTCTTTCTTCTATGTTCATAATTTAAAAATGGATTTATTTTCACATTGGTACAGTTGTATACATAAATCGTTTGTTTGTTTGTTTTTTTACCGTTAATAAAACAAATGAATTTTTGACAGGTGGCGGAATATTAAACACATCATTTTCCACATACCTATACCTATACTGGATAACACTGGTAACAGAGAAATCATTAGTTGAATAATACTTACACTTATTTTCACTTTTCACAATCACTTACGAACTAGATAAATTCGAAATTAGCTCTAACCTCCCTGATTCACTAGTTCTTCAAAGCTAGTTATTTATAATAATAATTGTTTGAATAATTATTCCTATATTTTATCAATGAGTTACGTATTAGCTAATTACTGCATACTTTTACTTTAGTAAATGTTTTTTTCAATCTAAAAATGAACTAGACTCAATTCGCAAAGCTAATGAACTTAAAATGATCTTAAATAAATCTATAGAAAACAGTCAAAAAAGAACCAGTATTTTTGAATTTCAAGGTGATAATGTTGCAAGTACAATCGACAGAAGGCTTAACACTACATTACTTAGGATTCACTCAGCAGCAAAACTGTTAATACTGTGTAAAACAACATGACCAATAACCCAATCCAAGGTTGGCAAGCAACCCTGACATGTTACCGTATCTGGGGCAGAGCAGCTAGCTACATTGGCTGAACAAAAAGCAGAGCATACGTTAGATTTTTTTGCAACTTGTTCCGAAAAAGCGTTAGAACAGAAAAAAGGATTTACTTTAAACAATCCAATCACAAAACATTTCTCTGACACAGGATATTAGGTTGATACCTTGCTATCTTTCAAGGTAATTAATAAACAGACAAGCTACAGTCTTCCGAAGTTTTACAGAAGTCATGGCTTTCAGGTGCCTGAAACCTGATTTATGTGTTCATAAAGAGATGGTTGCCTTTAGAATAAATATTCCTTCACTATATCATTAGATTTTATTCCACCCTTTCTTTGAACCAACTACATGATTACTTTATATTTCGACTGTCTTCTAGATCAGCAATCTTTTTTTAACTATCTGAGCTTTATTCATTTTGTCCTTACTTTTTACCATATTCATTACATAACAACTTGTGTTGCAACCCTTGAAACTTTTGTCATTGTCTATGTTGTGAAATGTTCTTCTGTATAAGGTATATGCTGACAATCTTTTATTCAGTCTATTTAAAATTATTCACACCCTTGCTACACTCACTACTGATATATGATCAGAGCAACTTGCAAATAAACTCTTTCATGTCAATAATTTAAATCCAATTTGTAATTATGATTTTCAATTCAAACAGTTGTAAACAACTGACGTGAATCAAATCTTTGTGTTTGCTCTCTTCTCTCAAGATGAGAAAGGAAACTATGTGTAAGAATCTTTAAATAAACACCGATTGCTAATCTTTTCCATTGCCATTAATACTACTACTACTACTATTACTACTACAACTACTGTAGTGAACGAGAACACAGGTGGGGCAACCGAGCTGTATTTAGCGAAAATTACAGAGTTACTCAGTGAAATCGGAAAATCATATCGTATATCGTTCATTTGCAAAATATCAGTTCATCATATTGAACTGGACTGTTCCTGTTGCAAAACATCAATCCATTGTCACTATTCATGCGTTTCATACAAATTCTATTGTGTTCCAACTCTTCCTTTCTTGATCTTCCCCCATGTTCTGCTGCCAGACATTACGTTGACACTGACGTCATATATTACTTATAAGTAGCTCACACCACACTACTATTACTATTACTACCACTACTACTACTACTACTACTACTACTACTACTACTACTACTACTACTACTACTACTACTACTACTACTACTACTACTACTACTACGACTACTTCTACTACTATTACTATTACTACCACTACTACTGTGGTGTGAGCTACTTATAAGTACTATATGGCGTGAGTGTCAACGTAATGTCTGGCAGCAGAACATGGGGAAAGATCAAGAAAGGAAGAGTTGGAACACAATGGAATTTGTATGAAACGCATGAATAGTGACAATGGATTGATGTTTTGCAACAGGAACAGTCCAGTTCGATAGGATGGACTGATAATTTGCAAATGAACGAGTTACGATATGGTTTTCCTAATTTACTGAGTAACTCTGTAATTTTCGCTCAATTAAGAATTCAGTTGCCCCACCTGTGTTCGCTTTCACTACACTACTACTACTGCCACTACTACTTCTACTACTACTACTACCACCTTTAATATCATGGGATTTGAATGGACAATTGCATCTCTGTGCTATCGTGTTATAGCAACCTCTAACCGATGCACGTACGTATGTACGAAGTTCTACGTTTGTAACTGACTGGCTGAATGTAAAAAATTTATGAATTTAAGTGTTTCGGTGCTTGGTGCCTACTTTGAAAAAATCCTGACCAATAAATTTTGCTAGACAATTCTTGTCAATCCTTGTAAATTACTAGTTTATTATTGATCATCTCCACTGTATGCGAATTCTTGATATCAATATTAAATATGCATTGAAACAAATAATTTGAAATAATTAAAAACAATTTGGTGTGTTACCAGCAAAACAATGGTTTACACTACTCAGCCGCTGATACATTTGGATGAGGTTAATTTCATATGAGATATTTTGAGATTTTAACAAAAAGTAGTATTTATCAGTGAAAAATCATTTGAACAGGCTTCCACTTGCCATTTTAACATTTAATTTCATTTTGACAGTACATGGAATTTGATTGAGGGTTGTAATTTCTCCACGACTGCTTAGCATAAAACATTTATACACTGAATCAGTACACTACTTGAAAGCTGTTGTTAACACATTGTAATAGGAAAATTAGTACATTTTTTTACAACTAACTGTAACTTTTATTTCATACTGATTATGTTTAGTCTAAGTAGTGGCTATGCTTGCTTCGCTTAAGCGATATTTAGTTAGGAACCCCCCCCCCTCCCAAGTACATTTTATCAAAAATATAACAAATTTCAATTAACTTCTATGATTACATAAACAATGTCTGATAACAGATGTGAATATTGATTTTAAATAAACTCCTCACTTGCCTTTTTCTCTCTATGCCCAGTTAGGGAGACTTGATGAAGTCACATTATCGAACTATTCAAAAAAATAAAAACTTATCTACAACATTTCCGATTAAAATTCAACAGACTAGCTTACTTTCACCGTAGGATTCTCCAAGTCATGTTTACACAATGAATAAAGTTTGAATAACAAGCCTATTATCGTAATCTTCTAGTCAGTAATACTTAGCGACCAATGATTTTATGTTTACCTCTCATAGGTTAGCATCTATCATGACATGTGCACATAGTATTTGTAGTCTTGGCACCAGTCGAGAGACTAGTAAAAAAAAATTTGTTTCATATTCTGTAAAATACTAATTATCTCTAATGACCAATTAAATAAAAGTGAATTTGAAAAGAGAAAAAAAGAAGGATTTCAAAAAAAAAAAAGAAACGAAAAGAGAAATACACATGATGTAAGCGAATCATAATATTGTCCATAAAATTAAACATCGTATTGATTGATTGGTTGGTTGGTTGTTTGTCTGTTTGTTTGTTTGTTTATCTTATCTGATACATGAATCATTGAATGTGTCTGTGCCAAAGACATGCGCATTGACAGTCTACATTGGACATTGAATAAAACAAGGAAATAAATTAAACAATAGGGGATAGTGGGCATCAAAATTAATTGACTATTGTGTTAAGCTGGATTTTGGCATCTTGTTTATTTTTTTCGTCAATAAGTAATCAAATGATCACACTTCACCACAACTACAACAAAAACAATAAATATATATATATATATTTTGGTAGGATATTGATTTTACCATAGGACATATCTTCAGGACTAAGTTTTCATTCATGGAATTTCCAAAGATCACAAAGTGTGTGTGTGTGTGTGTTATATTTTCTCCTAATGGAAATAAAAACTAATTCAATCTTAAGAAATGATAGAATATTTTGGCGCAATAGCTGTCTTCATTTAAGCGAATCCAGCATTTGCTTATAATCAACTAGTGAATGAATTGTGAGTTGTTTATGACAGTTATCATGATAGGATTATTGTCACTGCGTACAGGATGCTACACCAGTAACTAGTCTGCTACAATTAATTGAAAACAGTTACGCCGGATACATTTTCACTGGTTGTCTTCTTGGTCATCTGCATTTTCTTCTTCTTCCTCCTCCTCCTCCTCATCATCATCATTATATTCTTCCTCTTCCTCTTCGTCCTCGTCTTCTTCTTCTTCTGCCTCACCGCCATTCACATCCCCCTGTTCTGTTTCAACTGTTATACCTACTCGCCCTAAATTATTCACCATTGAATGTTTGTTATTCTGAAATCCAGTCTCATTGGTTTCATTATTAAAATTTACCATAGACTCTGTTCTATTGTCAAAATCTTTTTGTTGTGGTAGATTTAACTTTTCACCAGAGAAATTTGTATCATTTTCCAACTTTGTTGTTATTTCTGATGAGGTAGGTAATAATAGTGTTACTCCAGCTCCGTTTGTTTCTTCTGTATTAATTGTAAATCGATTTGTTAACAAATGTGATTCATTTTGGTGGTCATGACAATTTTGAGGATGTGATCGATTGTCTGCATTGAAATTCACATGAGACCATTGCATAAGTGATTGATGATTGTCATTCTCTTTGGAACATTCATTGTACATTGGATAATCGGACGATGTACAATTATATAATTTATGTATTTTCTCTGAATAAATTGTAGCGTGTTTCTGATTTGAATATTCTTGTTGTTTATGCATTTCAGCTGTCCATAATTCATAGGCACGTTGTGAGGCATCAATAGACAGCATCGATTTCAAATTCGATTGATCATGACCATTGAAATAATTGTCCATGGTAGTATTTGTTGAATGAGTTGACATCATGTCAGATTTCAGTGAATTAGTGTTATTACTATCATGCATATTACCGTTATTAGTAATGACATTCATACTGATAATCTCTTGATGATTAGTATTGTCAGTAGTGTTACATCGACGTGTACGTTTACGTGCAATATCATCATGTTCCCTGTAAGACATTCGAACAGTATATTCATTTTGGTAGTAGTCATTCAGCTTATGTTTTGAATCGTTGGTAGTGGTTTTGTTTAACAATTGTGATGATGTTGGTGGCTGTGGCGGGGGTGGCGGGGGCGGTGAACTTGTCAACAAATGGTTCGTTTTGGTTGGTTGGTGTTGATCGTCATAAACCAGCGGATCATTTAATAGACAATAGTCACCATATTCAATTTCACTAATAATAGTTTGAGAAATGGAAAATTTCAATAAAATTTACAAATGTGTATATATTTTTTTTGTTTATAATACTGAAATATATATTTTAGCAAAAATAAATCTATTCACGAATCTTAAAAAAGGATATTTCTTACTTGTTGGTATTCGTCCCCCCCCCTCTATGATGGCTGTGAATAAATACCTCACACAAAAGGCAATATTTCTTATTGAAGCATAAACAGTAACCCTAGTTTTCCTCTATTTTTTTTTAAAAAAATTAATGATTTCTCAGTAGATCCATTGGAAACCTATCACCAGGGAGTCCGGTTAACCTTTCCGCTACTACAGATGCATTAGAAAAGTTGTTGTTGTTGTTCGAGTTTTTCTCTCTAAGTTGGTTGGTTTAGCCGAGCAATCTTCACTTCCCTTTGGAATAGTACCGTCATATAGAAGTGAACTATTTGAATTTTTCTACAAATGACAAAGATTCTGTTCTGTCAATCTCGATCTTACTTAACTGTTGTTAACACTTCTCATGGCATTAGTTGTATTGGTGATCATTAGTTGTACTATATGTGTTCCACTTTGCTTCGCTATTCGCCTTTCGGTTGAGCAGTTGATCGGCGGACTGTATCTGACACTTGTTGGCAGAACACGCTGACGTAGAATTTCGTGAAGAAAGTAGAGTTGTTCTCGAATGGAAGCCTACCTTACGGAGAAATTCTCCCATCTTCGAACAACGAGAATAGTATCATGCTCATGAGATTTTGAGGTGGTGAAGAAAATTTGCAGCTCAGGTGGATGATTGTGGTGGTGTTTCGTTCTCTGAGCTGTGTACTATTGTGTTTATTTGAAAGAGAGAAGGCTGTTAGCCACATTTAAAAAAAAGTCAACTAATTCACTTTCATCGGAATTTTTCGCTGATGATGTTGTTTAAGGGAACAATGCAAATTTCACGATTAAATCACCCAGCACAGAGAATGAAAGTTCACCCTGGCCACAAATCTTCCCTACGATCTCAACATAAAATGTCCGTTTTAATCAATGACTGAACCGCGAAAACTTAAAGAAGATTCTATGTCATTTATATCATACATTATTTAGTGTCAGTTCATAATACTGACCTATCTGTTGATCAAACCATTGAGTTGGAGGACTGGTTTTCACTTTATTCAATTGCATTAGGTCACCTTAAACAAATTCTTCAATAGAATCTTTTGCCTTGGTAGTAGTGAATTATGGGATTTCAAACTCCGGTAAACGACAAGTTTTTTTTCTGATTTTAAAGCTACCTTACTGCTGAACGTACTAGTTAACATGAAGTTGGGTCTATTGGCCTAATCTAATAGCCTCGGAACGCATAAAATTTCACATACTGGAATAATCCATCATACAATTTAAATCACAGTCAATATGTTCACAGATATGATGTCCGCAAAAACTGAATTCTCACTTTATGTAGAACTTAATTTAGAGCCTAATTTTTAGTAAACTATAGAAGTATCATTTCATACTCTAATCTAAACATTCTGCTGTTTCCTTTGAACATCCGCCACTAAGAATATTATGATTACGCCGCTATGGCTTACAGTTTATCTCTGTTATAGAAGAAAATTGTATCTCATTGAGAATCTTCTAACAGCTGAGATTATTCTTGCGCAACCTTACAGATCTAAACCAATCCTTGACCTTAGCGCCATTAAGGAAATTCAGAGAATGAACTGAATCATACATACAATTGAAGCTATCTTGATGCACATAAAAAAAGAATACTTACGATAGAAGATAGTTCACGCTGACAACGCAGTTCGGTCTTGAGGATCTGCTATTGTGAATTATAGTTGCATACGATTGTATCCATACCCAACCTCCGGATCTATTGAGTAGTCGATAATACGGTGTTGTAACTTGACCTTTATTTAAAACTAAAATTTGAATTTTAAAAAGAAAAGAAAATAGTTATGATAGTGCAGAAAATAAAAAAAAAACACATGAAACAAAAATGTACCAACAAAAAATGTATGATATGATAGCCATTAACTTTCTTGTGCTGTTTGAATAGAGTCCATTCAAATTACAAATCTTATTCATTGTCCAATGAATTTTTATGCTAACGATCAAAGTCTCAAATTGTTTATGACTACTAATGATGATCTACTTGGAATTTAATAATTATGATTATGCATACATAATTTTATGTAAAATTGGAAGAAATTTTTTTCATCTTTTGATTAAATGTGTAAATGGGCTTATCTACCACAAAGAAATTCAATTTTTGATCAATTTTTAGCGCCAAAATTTATTCCGTTTGAATATTCAACACCGATTGCGATTTTTGTTTCAAAACTAAAAACTCTAGTATTTCATTTAAGTTTTTTTTGTATATGTCACGCACACACACACACACGCACACTGTAATCATTAAAAGATTCAGTTATTAACTGTCAACTTACGTATTTCATGCGAATATCTTAGTGATGCAACATCTGCTGTGTGCACTAGTTGATAAAGTGTTTTATCCACCAGTTCTTGCGGTTGAAAACCAGTTATTTGAGAAATTCTTCATCCGACAAAAGAGAAAAGATGGTAAACATTATTAATCTTAACCTGTGACAATAGAAAATGTGCAATGCAGATTAGTTTAGATACACGATTAAAGATTATATATGCATATATGTCTTATCTTATGATGGTAACGTATTTTCGTGCACAAAACTAAGCATGTAAGACGGAATAATGTTGTGAAACATGAAGCTGATCACTTTTATATGCAGCAGAGAATTAGAGACAACATATGTAACAGCTTCAACGTTTTGATTCACATTAAACTAAAGTTTTCACAGTATTTCTTCGATGCGTCTTGAAGTTTAACCCGCCTAGAACATTAATAAAAACCTCTTTATATTGACCATAAAATATTTAATTATAAATCAATGTGTATAGGAGGTTGATAGTTGAATAGTCTCAATAAGTAAATGTTGCATAAGAGACTGGAATTGCCATCAGATAAACTTTTTTTTAGAAAAATAAGTAAAATTGACTATCAACACCATATTGATCAACGGTTAGAATTTATGAACGGCATTAAATCTTTATTACAGAACTGGAAAATTGTTTCGTTAGAGCGAGCAAACTATTCCAGTTGACTGATTCATGAAAACTGTATTTGTTTCTTCATAGTGTTTTTCCAATAGATACAAATTAAAATTTTTGCACATGTACTTTGTGCTATACAGGTTTATTTTCTGTTTGATAGAAGAAAATGCACAGATCTTATTTTCTTTACTGATGCATCAAACAGCTAATGAAAAATTCAAATCAACCACACACACGCACACACACACACACAAGGATACAGGTACACACAATATCCTTACACTACCCTCCTAGAATTCACCAATCTCTCAATAATATCAACACTAGTTTAATGAAGGGAACGAAAATATTTCTTTGTACCCAAGTTACTTTTACCTCTACTACTTAATAATGTCGTTTTTTCGCCATATCACAGCTGAGAATAGATCATATTTGTAATGATACTCAGTGATCGTTATTTCAGAGATATGATGTGCACAGTCCTCTTATTTAAGTAGTATTAAAAGTAATTTATCAAAAACCGGAACATTTAACTCAAGTCCCATGAATTCAATGTAATTTCTCGCTTTGTTTATAAGATGCCTGTGAAATGATGATACATAAATCAAGTAATTTAAGATGATGATGTTGTTACTACTGTTGCTGTTGCTGCTGACACTATCGTGTATAATTACTTACTAGAGACTTTATGAATTAGTAACGTAAACAAAACCTATCCATACAGTTTCAAAGGCTTTTACTCTAGTCAGTTTAATGAAATAATCCATAGAGACGTTGTTTTTTAAGTGCCTTCATTAATCACAGACTATACAACCAAGAAATTTTCACCTAATCAATTCTACACATTTGAAATCATCAATCAATGATTTTTAGACCACCATTAGAAACCTGGAAGCACTGAAAGACGGCCGTCAAGTCCTGGTATGCGAATCATCAGCAGTACGCATCCACCACTCCTGCACGTCGCAGGATTCGAACCCCAGGGCCTTCGGTATTGTGCGCGAATGCCGAACCATCGGACCACTGGGCCGGCATCCAACGGTGTTAATGTCTAACTTTGATTGATCTAATCAATTCTGCCCCGTTGATGAGTCACTTTAACTGTTGATCACATTTTTGCTCAAATGATCCGCGGGTTTTGATCATCATCATCATCATACCAATCACTAAGTACTAGTTACTTTGAAGTGCCGAGAAACAGGATAAAAATCAAATTGAAATAGTTACTCATCTTACATTTATTTCTACTTACCTGCCTTCTAAAAAGATTAATTTCAAGTCAAGACTGGCACGGAACATGAACATATCCATACTTAAGCGTATTTCTGTATTATTTGTATTCGGTGAAGGAATTGCATAGGCAAATGATATTAAGCCTAAATTTTGATAATACTGATAGCCATCTAAGTGAATAACACGAACACGTAAATGCCCATTACAGTGTATTACCTGACAATTCAAAAAATAAAAAATCAAAATAGCCCAAAGTAATGTTAGTAACAATGAAGTATTCTAAAAAAAAATAGAAAGTTAAAATTGCCAGACTATCCTCTAGGGATACTACTGAAAACCAGAGGGTTAGTTGTTTCAGTTAGTTGTTTCGTCTGAAACTTTTCAGCAACTCCACTAATGACAGTACCAGAGATCTAGGCTGGTTTTAGATAATTCAGTTGGAATCCACTGACCATTTTGTTGAGGAGTCTGAAGCTTAATGATCTGGAGTTTAAGCGTTTAAACGCAAGATTGAAGATTCTGGATTCGATCTCTACGTACAACGTCGCTGATGCACATTGCTAAAGCATCCATCTCATACTAAAACGAAAGGGACTCTCCAGTTCTTCCAAGTTTTTACTGGTGGTCTACCAATGATCGACTAATGATTTCAGTGAAACTTCACAATGTTATGCTGAAAATGTAGCAATCATTAGGATTTCTTATAAAACACTTATTTTGTATCCGCATCATAACTGATGTGAAATTCCATCCTTCCTTAAGAGAAATAGGTTCACTTTGCACTTTTACAAACTTTCAGTGATCAACTACACCTATTTAGGTGAGATAGGCTAGCAACTTAAAATTATCATTACTTCAGGCTGGGTTTTTTTAATACACATCTATTTACGTTTAAATTTATTTGTGAACATTGAGTAACAGTTTTTTGAAGAAGTTGTATCACCGTTAACACCTTTTCGGAAAGGAGGTTAAATTTATGAAAACACACACGTTGTTTCTAAAACCTCGGTTAGTTCGCACGTGCAGCCTAACTTATTTCATCGTCACTTACGGGTAGATACATATATATATATATATACTATAATTAGTTTGTTTCTGTAATTTGGATTTACTAACCCTCAAAAGTGATCAAAACACACAGGAACTTACTTTAAAACCAGCTGTAGTTAATCCAGCATTTCGTTTAGCTAAGACACATTTTACACGCAAAAAGAAACTTCGTTCCACTGTGAACTCTGGAAGTGTGATGAAAGAAAGAAATACAGATACAATTTAATGATCCGATAAAAGATGACTTTTAAATAAACCAGTATTATCTAAAATTATATTCCTAATAATCTGATAGAGTCTTTTCTTACAGCACAGTACTGCATGGGTTTGAATTCGGACAGAAAAAAAAGCATAATATCCTAGCCTCTGTTGATTGGTGCCAACTTCATGAGAGCTTAAGTTAGACTTTGTTGTAAACTATTTACAACATAAATATAAATATCTACCTTACCGAATCATTTAACTTCAAAGGTCACATACAAAACTTGATTGAGTAAGCGCGAACATTAATCGCTGTCGGCTTTAATTGGTCAATGAGTTAAGTGCCTAACACTGATTTGTTTATCCGGCACAAAGGACAGACAATCAGTCGATGAGTGATTATTTATCGGATTTTTTTTTCCACTGACCATCTTTCCATGTGTAGATATGTGAATTCACATGAAACTTTTAAGTTCATTTGAAAAGTTAACTGATAATCACACATTGACACGTTATTATTAGGCCAGGAATACAAACATAAAATCAAGTATTCTTAATATCTTAACAGAGTGTATCCAAATTTAAACCTTTCACATTATTCAACTCACTTTAAAATCAAAAGATTTAATGTCAGTTTAAGTTATCTAGTTAAACCAGTGATAGTTGGTCATTTATCAAGTGTGATTAGCTTAACTGGTGATAATATTAATTTCACAAGTCAAATGTCACATTGAAAAGCGTAATAACACAACAAAAAAATATCTACATTTATATAAATATATATATATAGATAGATAGATATAACCAAATAACATTTCACACTGAAAGTCACGTAGAATTTACACTTGAAAGCATGAAGATAGAGAGAGAGATAGTGAGAGAGAGCGAGAGAACAATAAAAACCTAAGCTTAGTTTTAGGGGGTGGGAAGAGCGCAGAAGTGTATGTTGCAAGAAAATTCCTTCTTTACTGTTTACTTATTTCCTTTAATCGAAGGCATAACAATGACAACATTTATTTTCCTACTCTTAAATTCCACCTATCTATTTTGAATAAACTGTATTCTCCTGTTCTCCTGCACTCTTGCACTTAATTTTCAGCAAATAAACCGAGTTTGTTTTTTTCTTTTCGTTTTATTATTGTTCAAAATAACTTTTTATCGTTTATCATTCTCTTCTACTCGAATATGAAGAAAAGAAAACATTGCAAATTAATTATCTGTATCAAATGAAAGAATGAAGAGAGATAAATAAAAAAAAGGAGAAAATAAATAAAACAGGCCAACAAAAAAAAATGTGTACAACAAAAAAAGAGATAGACATTTTATACTTTTAAAAAGCAGTTGAGATTAGCAGCACTTATGGGGGTGGTGGCGAGGGTGGTGTTCGTGAGGCTAATGAGAGTGGTGAGGCAGTAGCGTAAATTATCTCTAAAGTTCAAGAACAACTTATGACTACTACTACTACTACTGCTACTACCACTGCTACCACTACTACAACATGAAAGTGAACTCAACATTTTGAAAAGAACAAGAATGAATTATATAAATAGTGTGTCTATTGCGAATTATTTAGATACTGTGAATCCAGCTGTGTAAATAGATGAAACCAAATTTATACAACTTGTTAGGTGTGTTTATGCAAAGAAGTAATAACTTACAATAATAATAATAATAAACTGAAGGGACACCCAGGTTAAGGTATATATATATATATATATACAGAGGGGAATGTTTCATAAAGATAACAGTCAATAAGAAGATGAACAGTGAAACAAAGTGGAGGTGGCGGAGAACAATGATGATAAATGCTTTCTTGTTCAAGTTTTATTTTTAATTTTTTTTTTTGAAAAAAAAATAACAACAGAAGCCATTTCTGGAAAAGAGATTTCCTTAACAATATTCACCTTTTTGCTTACATATGTTTGTGTTTGTATGATTGTCACATTTGTTTTTTTTTACGTGTGAGTATGTGTGTGTGTATCAAAGTAGATTCAACGAAAGAAAAAGCTCTGTTAAGATATCAAATTGCAAAACAGCCTAACGAAATCATGTTCAGTTAATCTATCTATCCATATGAGATTTATCTTCACTTGTCAAAACAAAACTTTTTTTAACCAAACTATCATCAACACATCATTAAGTTATCTTTATTATTATTATTATTGTTATTAAATTTACCGGAAATTAATTTTTTCAACTAGATCACATCATTAACTAACATTTCATTCACATTGTATGTTTTCAGTTATGAACTGTGTAGAAAAACAAACAAATGTTTCAATGTTCAACATATTGTACAAATTTATTGTAATATGCATGAGAATAATCAAACAAGTCATATTGAAATGAAGTTGCTCTCATATAGGGAATGGATATTTTAAATTTTTCAACTCAACTCTATATCAATAGAAGAGTTTTTGACTAACCTATGGATTAATTCAAAAGGTGTATTTTTTTTTTAAATTTACAAAAAAGTAAAGTATGGGAGAAATTGCAGTGAAAAATGTTCAAATTTCAATTTTGGCTAAATCAGTTTAGAAAGATTATTGATACTTTGACATTTTACTTGATGTCCAGTCTTATCCTAACCTTACCAGACTAATCTTATTCATCCTTGCTATTAAGATTGAATTGGGTGAGACAGTGAAGCATCACTATATCTTCATGGGAATGAATATTCTGATTGTGTTTTTAAAACTTTTAACAGTCATTGTTTACATCACTGTACCAATGGGAATAAGTTCAGTTAAATTATTTTTTTGTACAAATCACCACTATGAAACTAGATCGTTCTATTGTCGTGAAAAGTTTACTATTGAAAAAACACGATATCACATTATGATTGATTGAACATTGTACCTGAGATTTGAACAATTTATCAAATAGTTGAAGGAAAAAAAAACGAAGAAACGAAAAAATGATCCTACAAAATATTCATTCTTTTGCATAGTTATTTTTAAAATATTTGAAAGAAGTATTCGTTTGTTTCATTTCATCTTCATGAGATTTATTCATTGATTTAACTCAACAATCACACAAAGATGATACACTATATATATATATATAGCTGTCTTTACACTGAATCAATCAACAAGTGCACTGCTTATATAATTAAATCTAGTCATTTGTTGTTGTAACTGTTCAACAGAATTGAATTCATTGAGATTCGCATTTCTAATAATTCAATTTGACTAAATGAGCAATAATTACCTGATTGACCAGCATTGGCAGCAATTTCCGATGGATGTATAGTGAGTATCTGTTTCAATTCATCATGATCCAATGGATGTAAATATTCGGTCATTTCATTTCCGGTCATTTCAACCTTTCAATGAATGAATAAAATAAAATAAATATTGATGCTTGTGGTTGTGTGTTTGTTTGTTTGTTTGTTTTAAAAGGTTGTAAACATGTAGGGTTCGTCACTAGGTACGCTTGAAGCTATTACGAGTTCACCTTAGTCGATAAACGCGAACGAGACAATTAGTCAGCGTCCAGCTAGGCTACCTGGAATCCCAAACTGCAAAACAGAAGACTTGTCAAGCGTAGAAAGTATATTCTACAAACACCCAGCAATCACACAATACAATCAAGCACACAACTCTCGTTTATTTATTTATTCATCATAGAAACGTCCTTGGAACAGTCACAAAAATAGCACACTAAAACACACAGCAGTCAATCATAGCCATCGATTTTCCTGATGGGAAATGAAATGATCAAGGTCAACTGATCAGCCCATGCTGGCAAACATGAAATCCAAAATAAGGCATTTATCAAGCGAGTTTTGGGGGGATCTAACATTCCCAACAAAACATATGTAAGTCATTTCTGAATGAGATTTTCAATAAATTATGAAATGAGTACAAGTTAAGCGGTGATCTATCCGAAACAAAACTTGTAGAGAATCTTTTAACTGAAGTAACTATCAGTTAGGAACAATCACCCAATATGATCATCATCTTGTACTTCATGTTCAATTTTCAGATTGATTTGTTTTAATGTGCATAAAATGTAATCAGATTTTAAACAGATTATCGATATCTGTTTAAATAGTTTGTTTTTTCTCTTAATGCATGCAATCAATAAGCAATGAAATGCATTTGTCCACTACACTTAATGATTAGTGAATAATTTCGAAAACACGATTCCTAATCCAGATTTTTTATACTTCTTCAATACATGTTCAGTATCACACTTAATTGACTAATTCAATTTTAAAAAGTTTTGAACATGCTTTTCACTTCAACTCTGAACGACTCATCAGTAAGTATTGACTATTAACTGGATTGAACCAAGTTTTCTTGTAGACAGATTTCAGTTAGCTAATCGTTTTACGATGATCTATATGTGCTCTTTAGACATTATAATGAGATTTGGCCAAGTGTAATCAACTGATTACATAGCATGGAGAAATTAGGTTACTATGCATCTTTTGAGTTTATATATATTTACTGAATGAGGTGGGAGGGGAATATGCCTCAGCATTATAATTATACTAAATGATCGTTAGTGTAAGTTCAGGTTTGTTTGAAAGAAGCCTTAGAATTTTCGAACAGAATAATTATATCATTTTTTAGATTCGTGTAGAATACTTAGCAAGGAAAAATTTCAATTATCGCAAAATAGTTCTAAAATATGAGATAGATGGTTCATTTGATAGAGTAAGAGTATATGGGAAGTTGGGGAATTCTATCGTCTCAAACATTTACTATCTTCGGGGGGGAGGGTGTTAAGAAACATTAGATTTCAGTAATGAACAATAATGAACGATCATTAATTTAAAATTTACCTGAGACAAACCCAGTAGAACAGAAGCTGTTTCTGATATGTACAAAATTCTCCCCTCGAGTGATACAATGAAAATGAAACCATCCATTGACTGAAAATCAATGAAAGGAAAACAAACAAACATGATTTTAAGTCAACAAAACTAGAAGTTAACCTGATGCGACTTTTAACATTCAACTAGTTCCGAAACCTTGTCTGTGGCTACACTCTTCAGTGTCGTGAATTCCCATTACTTGTTTGCAGTTTTAATTGGCTAAATATGATTGAAACAATTTTTTGAATCGATGTGGATGATATTTACTTAAGTCTAAGATAGTCGTTTTCAACTTGAGCTCAATTAATGTTTTATGTACATAGTTGAATAAAACATCCAGGTAGAGATTAAACAATTTATATATAAAAACTATGTTCTTTCCAATAACCCGATTTATTATCCCAATAAACAGGAAGTATATGGATTGTAATTAACGCAACACTACACGATATTTTGATAAACTTCTATAAAAAATCGGACAGAAGTAACAATTATGATCACTCGACTCAATGTCGTCTTTATTTATTTAACGAAGCCAAAATAATGAGTTACAACGATGACTTTAGAAAAAAAACAAAATCAAAAACCCATTGATGTATATTCTTGTGTAAATAAAAAAAAATAGTGCTCTTTGTAATGATAATTCTAAATTGTTCTCACCTTAAATATATTAGGAGCCAACTCTCTTTCGATCACGTGATTCGATATTGCATGGGAATAATTCCAATTATCACCGAAACCTACAATTTGAGAGAAAGTAAATACAATGAATGAATGGAGGGGTGGGTTAATGGAAACTCTGAAACAATACAAACGTTATCTGAGTTTCTTTTTAGTTGAAAAAAAATGCTCACACAATACGTTGGCGGATTTCGTTACCAACATCAATTTGTTAGTCATAATGTTTAAACTACTTATATGATATTATTTAAATATCTGACTATTGACACAAGGAAACACCTAAATATTTACGTATCACACAAATCACTGAATCTGTGAATGGGCTGAGGTATTGTCCAGGTGCTTTTCGTATGGGGTCACTCGTGAAGCCTTTGACCAAGAGTTCCAAACCACAAGACAGTGGGTCAACTTTAAAAATGTAGTCCCATAGTAGCTGGTGACTAATAATAGATCTATACGCCATTTTGTCCCTCAAGACTGTGGAGCCTGTGTGCATCACTGGTTTGGCATCAGGGTTTTCCAACTCTCGTAGTCAGATTCCCCGTCCCTGTTAACCCGGTTTAAGGGACGTACATTCGCCTTTCATCATCTCAACTTTATAAACAACACCGATGTCATATGAAGGCAGTGAATAGGACTTCCCAGACAGTGGTGGATATATGAGAGCACTTTGCAAGGAAAAGCGGACTCTTACTACCAATGTATTTAGACGTAGAAATTACTAGTATAAAAAATGATACATCTTTCTCATAGTAAAGAATCAAACATCTAACACTAAATCGACTGAAACAGTGACGATTTGCTGCATTTTACAATATTGTTGGTCAAGTGCAAGTGATCGTTTTTAATTCAACTATTCAATTGCACAACACTGCTACAGAGATTTTTAATGTCTTGGATTTATTTGAGACAAAAAAATATCCAATGCACTTGCTTTAGCACACAATGTTATAGTGAGAAATAAACAGCTAGTTATTTCTAGTTTTATTACACTTCTTCAATGTTGTTTTTCAATCTTTATAAGAATTTTAATGAGATGAAAGAAAAATATATGGAAAAATAAAATGCAACAGTTTAGTTAGTTTAGTTCTGATCAGTTCATTTGTTGGAATGCATGTATTTACCGCCAAATCAATTGTATTTTCTCGTGTCAGAAGTAAACAAATTCTACTATCTGGAATTCCCATTAACCAAAATTTATTGTTACCGCTATTGATCAATTTATCTATTCCTTATGACAAGGTTGCCAATAAAATGGAATGTGTTTTTTTTAATGAGTCTAAGAGTTTATTATGGTTGATACTACTAATTATAATAACAATAACAGTAGTATAATCATAAAGTGTTTGATTGCATTTATCGTGTGTCAACAGTAATATACAATTATTCAGTTCGACATTATGACTCATTGGATAGAGTGTTTTTTTTCGCTCTGCGTTACTTTTCAATGTTCAATATGCATTATGAATTTGGGATTGTCAGTTGGTTAGTTATATTTCTAATAAAATATTTATTTTTTTTGAAAAAATAAAAGCTGTACACATGTATAAAGTCGTAAACTTTGTCTGTTTGTCAGTAAATACAGAAATCTCTACCCTGTCATCGAAATAAAGCCAATTCCAATGAAATTGTTTTTCGTTTTAATTGGGAAACATCAGAAAAAAAATTTCATTGATCCCCTTGAAAAGTATTACCTACTCTGATTATACAATTCAAACAATGTATGATTTTAACTAGATTACAGTGTACAGTTTTGTTGATTTTTTTAAAAATAAATTTTTTTCTGAAATACAAACAAAATCATCCATTAATTTGATTTATTGTCTGTTTGTTTAAATTACTATACATATTGATACCGGGAGGGAAGAGCTTTGGTTTTAGCGCGCTTTCTCTCTCCCAATACATATGTACATATAAATATATTCTTTTTTGTCTTGTATATAACCGTGAAATGAAGCATAGTTGTATGTTGGACAGTTTATGCACAAAAGAGGAATGTTCTTCTCATTCCTTTTTCTAGACACGATTTCGATTTTAATGATTTCAAGTGACCTAATTGAGTATCAGTCATTTAAGAATGGGAGCAAATTCAAGTCACAAATTAGGAGGATTTTTTTTCTAAGAAAAAAGACAGTTAACATTCGACTAGATGAGTAATAAGCTGATAGTGAAGTGAATTTTTTCTGGATACAGTCTCGATTATGAAATCACTTAAAGTAGACAAATTATTAGTAACTAAAGAATATAAGATCGTTGTTTCATTCTACTTTAGAACTCTGTGGCATCTCATACACCCATAGCCCTAGGACTAAATTCGACAGAGGACCTTCAGATCTGTCGGGAACTAGAATAACATCGAACTATTGAGAAGAGTTCCATTAGTCTACTCCTTTCATTCTCTCCTTTCCATGTATTCCCCCAGCTTATATCAATCCGTGATAATAAAAACCGGCTAAAACATTATTCCATGTTCTAATTGAAAATCAAATGTTTGCAAAACTGAAACAAACTATTTATCATGTTATCAAAGTAGATGTCAAATTATTAAACTGCTTTATAGTTAATTTCATGATTATAATGTTCATATTATCTGACACATGAAATTCTTTCAGAATTTAGAGATACTACTTATATTTGTTATACATCATATTCAGCTGAGTGTTTACTTCATCCTTGTTCAAGTTTCACCAAGTGTATATTCTACTGTTTAATTTATTAACTTTTCCATTGAAATTATGAATCGACCATTAGAAATATTTAAGCACTAGATGGCCGTTTCGTCCCAGTATGAAACTCATCAGCAGAGCGCTAGACAGCGTCCCATACAAGGACAAAACAGCCGCCTAGTACTTCCATGTTTCTAATGCTAGTCTTGCAATGATTGCTTCGTAATTTCAGTGAAACTCAACACAATCCCTACAACTAATAATGAAAAATCATTCATTATAATTAATAATATAAATGCATTTTTCCATTGTGGACAATTGTAAACTGTTTCAGGCAAAACGTAAATATTTTCTAAACATAACACTTTGTCTATAAATAATCCAAAGAACGTGCTTTGGTTCACATTTTTCTCCTTCTATCTATTTCTCTCTCTTCCTCTTTTGAATACGCGTACACACACACACACACACGTAGAGAGAGAGAGAGAGAGACACGGCGAACAGTGCTGAAGTCAATCCACTTAACTAGCCATTGCAAACAGAAACGCACTAATAAAACATAATAATTATCTTTATTGTTATTATTATTATTACTACTATTACGGTGATTATATAGTTATTGTTTATTACTGTTGCATGAAAACTCCAAGATGAACTGAAAAGAGGACGAAGTAAGTTTGACCAACAGTTCGAATAATAATTCAACTGTTATTTATGCGTGTACACGCGCTCGTGTGCATGAGTGCATACGTGTATGCGTGTGTGTGTATGTATGCATAGCTAGTAACCAATTCAAGTAGATATACTCACGTATTATTGAGTAGAGAAAATAAAAGTAGACAAGAGTACATAATAAACAAAAGTAGATAATTCTGTTTACCGGAGAAACACAAATATATATATATATATATATATATATATATATATATATATATATATATATATATACATATATTTGTCGCCCCAATCTATACATTTGAATAGTGTATCCACCCTGTTGCCGTTTGCTTTGCTTATTACTACTTATACTTACTTACTCAGTAACTCATCTTAACCATAAATGAACATAAAATTGAACGATAAGTTCCAATAACAACAACAACAACAACAAAAATTATGTCGTAATTCGTTTGAAAAAAAAGAAAGAAAGAACAAAAACTAAGACATGATAACGTGTAGCAGTTTTAATTTCTCTGATAAGTTGTAACTTAGATATGATAAACACTTTTGATAAAGTTTACACTTGTGTTGCTGAGAGATCTCAATTTCTAATGAATATCATAAGCATTGCATAGTATATGACTGTATGATTTAGAATTATAGTGTATGCAACATCATATAAATAAACGTGCTCAAACTGATAAAGAGGAGTGAAGCACACACACACACACACGCACACACAAAGAGAGAGAGAGAGTGAGTGAGTGAAGAAAAACATGCTTTATCTTCTATTAATTCACATTTCATTGAAAATTATCTCAGCGATAAAACTGTAACGAGAGTAATGATTTGGTTTGTGTAACATAGAGAATATACACCACACCTAGTTCTATCCGAATTGAAATAATCTCATTATTATTAGCTAATTAAAATCCACAATGAATGCGATGAATTGAATTCATGATTTTTTTCCAAAAAAAATTTATTTTTTTTCTTTTCTAAAAAATCAAACAAATCTGTTCTTATGAATTCAAATGTGTAAAAAAAACACAAATCTCCATAACTCTAACTGAAAGTATTGTAACAGTGCTCACTAGCGTGACTAGCTTCGTGAGGAAATTCTCGGAGTTCTAGTGAGAAGACGTGACCAATTGAATTCAACCCTGTCGGGTGTAGGCAGTAACTACCAAAAGCAAATGGGTGAGGTCGCACAAAATCCCTAGATCAATCAGAGTTAGACATTAACACCGTTGAATGCCGGCCCAGTGGTCCAATGGTTTGGCGTTCGCGCTCAATACCGAAGGTCGGGGGTTCGAATCCTGCGAGGTGCAAGGGTCGTGAATGCGCACTGCTGATGAGTCCCATACCAGGACTTGACGGCCATCCAGTTCTGCCAGGTTCCCAATGGTGGTCTAACATTGATCGATTCATGGTTTCAAAAATGTGTAAAAGTACAAAACCTCCAAAACTCTAACTGAAAAAAACTGTTTAGGATAATTAGCTTTTGTCTTAGTTTTACTTATCAGTTGAATTTGTTCATGTGTTGTGAATAAGCTGACTGTGTGTTATCGATCGATAACCACAAAGAGAGCATAACTCATCTAAAAGAGTAATTCTAACTGAATTATCCACGGGAACAGTGATGTTTACAACAACCTTTATTGTGTTAAATTTTGTGGTAATGTAAATTGACTCTCTGATTTAGAGGATTATGGTACTTGCTGACAGCAAATAACGGGGAAAATAAATTTTCTGTTAAAAAAAACACCATTTTCTAAGTTTTGGGTTTTTTTGCTTTGATGTTACTCAGTGTACTTTTGAGTTGTTGAGTGTTAAATTCTATGTTGGAAATTTTTTTTCAGACTGATGATCTTCTGACTACAAAAATCACTTTACACATTATTTCAGGACTACGCTTGTCATTTTAAAAAAATTTTATTGTTTGGGGGAAAAAAACGAGATGTTCTCTTCACCCGCCACTCCCCCCTCAAAACAAAATAATAACTTTCATCGAACTACCTACCATTGGGAAATATAGTTCTGATTTTTAAATAACTCGTTGTCAAGCGTATAATCGAGGCTTTATCCAATTGTGATGTAATCGCACTGGGAAGTGGCAGAAGTCGAGCTAATTCGTAAAATTCAGTATTTTCTTTTTCACGTCTTGTACGAGCGGCATTTTTGGATTTTTCTTTCATTCTAGGCGATGTAGTCGCTGCTGTATGCGTGTAATTGTTGTTAGTGGTGGTAGTAGTGGTGGTGGTGGTGTTTTGTGATTGTTGAGTTGGATTCAAATGTGATTGGTGTGTTTGCTGTTGTTGTTGCTGTTGTTGCTGATGGTGATGGGGGTGGTGTTGTTGCTGAGGTACTGAAGTAACAACAGGTACAGTGGAAATATGTGGATAATATTGTGATGCAGGATGTGTATTATGAAATGGTACTGACAGGGCAAATTCATTATTTTCACAATGTTCTCTATGCATCATTTTATTGGTATGATAATTGGCAATTGTTTGATTGTCGTCATCTACATTGGTTAAATATTTATTATTCAATTGATTAGAATAAAGTGGTAATATATTAGTGTAATTAACAGTAGGATTATTACTTTGATTGTTTGTAGTAAGCGGAGTAGTAGGAGTATTAGCAGTAGTGCTAGTTATGGTGTTAGTAGTGGTAGTAGTAGTAATAGTAGTTGTTGTTGTAGTAACATTAACACTAATATCAGTAGTGTTGGTAACAGTAGAACTATTCATTGTATCGACTACTCTTGATGAACAGTTTGTATGATGAAAATATTGACCTATATCAGTTGTTTGATTAAAATTATGAATATGTGATATTAAATTCTCTGAAGATTTAATAAAATCTGATTGAACGCCAAAAGTATAATTATCACGTTCATTCAATGCAGAATACATGTTCATTGAATCGATTGGATAGAAATTGAATGATTTTGTAAAATTTATTGAATCAATGTAAGTTGGTGTTTTATTGGAAATTGAACAATGTTCCGTTGAATCATTGAATTGATCACATTTATTCGATGAATAATGCTGTGGAGTCATATATTCTGTCTGCATTTAACTATAAGAATAATTAAAAAGTAAATAAAATAAGTTGACAATCAACAGTAGCTTTTGATAATATAAGGCGAGGTGGGCGGATAATCACTGCCTAATCACTGTATCATTTTTATTATGGTACAAAATAAAGGTGATATGTGTGGACTGGTGAATTTTTCCGTTGTCAACTAGAATTTTGGTCTTACTTTCCATCTGACGGAAAAATTGAATTGACTTCATGGCCTAAGAAAGAAATCTCCCTGTCAATATGAATTATTCGCTGTGTTAAAGATGATTTTAATGTGGAATGTTTACAGTTCACTATATGAGAAAACGCCGGGTGAGTAATTCAACGTGAAGTACATTTATGATAGAAAATGCAATCGACAATGCATTATTACAGTTAATTTCACTTGACCAGTTACCTCATTGAATTCAACACATAGAAAACATTGTGTTATTATTGTAAACAGTTGATTTGTTTAGACAAGATCAATCATGCGTAAGAGTATCATCATCAAAGATAAATGATTAATTTTCGATGATTCATAAAACTAATATTTAAAATCTTGAAACAATGGCATGTACTGCATTGATGAACATGGAGAATTAACATTATGGGCTTGTTAGCTTGGCAAAAATTTTTTTCACACTATGGAATGTGACAATAGTCAACAACTTTCGTTAATAACAGGTGCAGGCTACCTGGTTGGGGTCCGTGAGACGTAAGTCACCAATGGTTAGAGACCTTGAATGACATGGCTCAAAATCGTTTACAGTGGCGCAGATGCATCCACTGTTTGTGTTCTCACAAATCATAACCTTCTTAATTCCTAATCATCTCTACCTCACTGAATTATACTTATCGAATCATATCTTCAAATCCTAATCTTCTCCATTACTACTAATACTTCAACTATCTCTACCACTATTGGATTTGAATTGACATTTGCGTCTTCGTGCTGACGTGGCATGACGACCGGAACTTACGTCCTCATGTATGAAGTTCTATGTTGTAACTGACTGACTGAATAACAAGTGTGTTTAATTTTCTATTTATTTGACGTCAAACTAAACTAAACTGATAAAAAAATCTTTTCCAAACGGTTGATAATGATGAATAGTCAAAAAAAGATTCTGAAATTTTTTGAATACTTTTAACTTCTAACGCTGCCAACAAGAAACCAATGTTTGTTTTACATGAAATTTTCATCGTTCAAGTTCCTAATGCACTATCAATTGTGTCTAAATTAAACATAGTTTTGCCGATAAAATAAAACGATTCAAACCATCAGTGTCCAATGGATATTCAAGTCCGTAGTGCACCACTTTACTCATTCAGGCATATTCACTGTTTAATTTTAACTTACTGTTTGTACAAGTAGCCAAAATAACAGTATTTAAAAATACCTCATAATACTGACATTATTAAAACCCAGATAAATTCTCACTGGGGAATTTGGAGTGAACATTAAAATTTAGAATTCTTAAATAAGTTGAACAATGAGGTTTAAATACTCGCAATCAAATAATCATAATCCATGTATGGACTGGTAGTTTTGGTTTGTGTTAACGTGTTAAAACCAAACTAACTAGCCAAGCATCAGTAACTAGAACGAGCTTGAAAAAAAATCAATATAAACTGTTCAGAAATAGTAGTAGTAGTAGTAGTAGTAGTAGTGTGAGTAGTAGTAGTAGTAGTAGTAGTAGTAGTAGTAGTAGTAGTAGTAGTAGTAGTAGTAGTAGTAGTAGTAGTAGTAGTAGTAGTAGTGGTAGTAGTAGTAGTAGTAGTAGTAGTTATCTATAAACAGCGCTATCGTACACTTTTAGCATAAACTGTCTGAATTTTAAAACACTCTCGTAGATAATACAGTGGCTAATTGATTTATGATATTCAAAGTTCTACGTTAAACAACAATGGTAAATGTTTTTGTAGTTTCTAATTTCAACATTTAAATTCTTTCTACCACTGCTGATATTGTTAGTTCAGAAAAGTATTCAGAGGCCAAAAACCAATTACACTACTCCAATATTACAAGTTTGTGTATGTTAGCCACTTGTAAATCGTTATCATACTTTTATACAATATACCATTTATGAAAATATAACAACACATATCAAAGCTATTTACAATTCAGTTATACTTTAAAGGTTTAACCACTATCAAGTATCGAACTGATGATGATGCAAGTTGTTGTTGGTGTTGACAGGACAGATTAGTACAAATCTACTGAATTCCAGACAATGAACCGAATGAGATCTGCTAAGTAGTCTAGTTTTGTGACTCCATATTCGTAACTCAATAGTGGGTGTTGTTTTTTTTTAATTCAAGTAATCATTTGTAAGTGTACTGCAGTTATTGGCCATGTCCTTTTCAAGTCATAAGTTTTCATTGCGTTGATGAAAAAAAAACTACCTTTCAGATTAAATCTTATGATAATGAGGCTATTTTCATAGACTTAATGCAAACTATGGAAGAAATTATTTACAATAAACTTATTGTTGATCAGTAGTAAAGTCATATAAGTCATTTGCCTAATTTACAACGCTGATCTAAATTTTAATCAAGAGTAGAAAAGCATTATAAGTGAATAAACTAAAGATCAGTACATCAGAAGTAATAATAATAATAATAGTAATAATGAAAATACACTTCCTCAGTTCTATGAAGAAAGTTTTACTTACATTTAATTCAGGTTCGTCTCTGTTAAAATTAGATAAGTTCGTTGTAACAACAACGTCGATATTGAAGAGATAATTGCAAATTCAATGTTAATATTGAATTTCGTAAAACGTTTCAGCGATACGTTTTATTTAACCAAATACTTTGATTACAAATGTGATAAATAATTAATTCTTGTAAATTCCGTAATACTTCCGTTTACTCAGCTTAAAAAAATTAATAACAACAGTAATTATGCGAATAAACGAGTGATAATGATTTTTCACTTTAAAAGTTTAATAATTACTCGACCTTTTTATATAATTTTGTGAACGTTTTCGATAATTCATTTTATTTTTTGAGAAAATTGAACGACCCCCACCCACTTGATTTTATTTAACGAGTGTAATGGTTGTTTTTTAAAATCTTTTGTCTCCTGTACCCTGTTCGTTTCGCTCTATCAAACTCTTTAAAAGACTTGGAGATTTTTGATTGGTCGATTTCAAGTCTTATTTCTCGAGCCAATCAAATGGACAGATTATAATGTGAATTAGAGAATCTCCATTGGTTAGAAAAAGCGGCATAACTTGCTATGAATTTGCAGACAGAAATAAGTGTCAGATAGTTTAATCAGGTGTGCACTTACATTGTCACATTGTATGCAGTCACAGGGTCTTAAAAAAACCTCGAAAATTCATTTTATTTAATAATTTTTGTTAAATAGAAGCTTACTGTCTACTTCGTACACTATTGTTATATTGCATACACTAATTACTGCTAAAAAGCAAAACATGAGTAATCGAAGCGTGTCTATATGCCAAGTGAAAATAATATAGTCTATTTTATTTAGAAAATTTATTTCTGAAAATATTAAGTTACGGGATTTGTGAGGAATATTTTTCACTTAACGCTAGTTGACGAATTAGTGTAAAACACTCGAGAATATGACAACAGTTTCAGATTATTTAGCGGTATACAACCACAATATAAAACAAATCTATCAGCATGTTTGTCACTTTTAGGTCAGTGAATCGGCATCCATTCAGGAAAACATTTCAAGGCTAGTTCCTAGTAGACATTTAGTCAAAATTTGTCTTCAAGAGTTTTGGAATAGTTAGTTTAAGTTATGCTTGGTATGCTATGAACTATGGAATCAATAACGTAAACACATTAGTGTAGAAGCAATATGTTACTTCGCGTCAGTTAAATAAATACCGACATCATATGTTACTCGGCCTACTTCTCTCACTTTTTACTTGAGTATTTCAACTTACTATGTATCTTGTGATGTAGTTTAATGGTTTACACATAATGCGTTCTATTCCTGATTTCTGCCTCAACTCATAGCTGGTCTGTTTTCTACCAGGTATAGAAGAACTTTCAACTCTTCTAGAGTGTCTTCATCAAGTGTTATTTGACTTGCACTCATTGTGTTTCACTTCGGAATTTCACTTCTCCCCCTGTGTATGTTGTGATTTTCTTCTACAGAGGCAATTTCTACACTGTCTGTCTTCTTTCATTGGCCCTAATTTTCTCCTTCACTAGTCTGTTTGCTTTTTTATGTTCAACACATGCCTCGACTTCCTCTGCTCGAATCTGGTTGTCATTGTCGTTGTTATTATTGTTGTTGTTGCTGCTGCTGCTGTTGTTGTATTTTACTCCCTTCTCGTTTTACTCTTTTCACTCTTGTCTAGAATGTGTATAGATATCTGTTCATTATGTCGGTGTTAATTTTGGCTCAATACATGCTGACATCTAGAAGTTATTGCTTCTTTCATGCGTTCCTTTTTGGTCGCCAGTGTTTTGGACTTCCTGTAGTAGGTGATGTCAGACTTGAAACTGGATGCCAAGAGCTATTTTTAATGTGCTGAACTAGTTAGTATTTCAAAGTATGTCTTTATCAAACTTTTGTGGTACTGCTTGTTGAACTTTCCAATATTTATTTAGTTTCAGTTTCTTGTTGGCCATCAGCATGTGGTGATCTGATGCTACGTCAGCTCCTCTCCTTTGATTTGAGTCTTCCATGAACTTCATGGATGTTTTACTCATAACCATGTAATCAGTCTGATTTTCTGTAGTAAGGTCCTGTGAAACCTGCCCGGGTGGGGGAGATTATGTCAACTCTAACCACCTAAAAGATAAAACTCAAATCTATCAGTCTCTTAGCATTCTGTTTATTAGTTCCCTGTCCTCGTTACCTTATAATGCCTTCATTCACGGTGTTTTCCATTCCAAAACTGGAGTTTAGGTTTATTATTAGAATGGTTAGTTGGTTTATTAGTCGTTTCTCTGAGTTGGACTTCAGCCTTCTTTAAAATTGGTCTATATCATCATCGCAAAC